TGCGTTAATATTAGTGCGTTTAGTATACTAATATTTCTTGTGATAAATTCTATTAATCCATTTGTCAACAATGAACGAGACATTTCGGTTACCTGTAAAGAAGAAAAGAAAGAAAAATGACAAGGAGCCAAGAAATGTGGTTTTCTTCTTGTACTGGTTTATAGATTTCCGTCCGGAATTCCGTCCCGTACCGAACAGTATCGCATCACGAAACAGGAATCTTGTAAGCGAGACATTTATCGATGCAGCGTGCAACATGGAAACAGCGGGAGACAAGAAAAGAAGAAGAGGGGAGGAGCGTGCAACAGGACAAACTGCCAAGTCTAATGCCAATTAGTGCCATTCTCCCAAACAGGTCTGAGGTACCCGAAGAGACCTCTCCATGAGACTTCCTCGAACTTTCTTTTCTCGCTGCAGATTCAGGTATGTCTAGAGTGCAAGCCGTATTTATTACTTTACGCACGTACAAGATGTCCGTAAAACCGCAAAGAATCTTTCCGACGCCGATTCAACAAATGGTAAAGGATCGACTTTCCTTTAACAAGGATCTTTTATGCCAACTCATAGTGAACAAAAACATCATCAACGATTAAATATGGCAATGATATCTCCGGTAAAGGTGGATCCAGGTAGATTTTTGGCTCGAGGCGAAAAAACGAACACGATCCTCCGGTTTTACTCGCTTAAGGACACAGAAAGCGAAAGCGCAGCGGGATTAGAAATAATCACATCATGGGTCTGCGAGTAAAGTTTTCATTCACTTCGACCGCATAGTAAAATATAGCACGCTAAGGGCTTTGAATACCTCTAAAATATCCTGAAATACCTTAAAAACTCGAGGACTCGGACCGTTATACCAGGAAGAATCATTTCGACAGGCGGGATTGTACAAGTGTATTCATTCATGCGTCCGCACGAGTTCACGACTGCAAAACTGTCGCGTTCGGAATTTTTTCAACAGCTTTACGATGCGGCGAACGAATAATTATACGGCCTAGATATTTAATCATCGCGCGACACGTGTTTTTTTTCTCGAGTCTCGCGCATCGACAGCAGCGATTATTATTTATTACGTCGTAAAGCGTTGAGAAACGGAACGACACGGCACGGAACAGCGCACGAAACGGATCGCTCGTCATATCGAGCGTGTTGATCGCGACGAAGGTGGAGAGGACAGAGGGGGCCATATATATACTCGGCCCGGCATCGATTGCGTGCATCACGCGAAACCGCTTCCTACGCGGTCGCCGCACATTAACGCATAATTGTATCTAAAGGTAAATACAGACGTCTCGCGATAAAATCGGTAAACGCCTCGCGCGTTACGCGTTAGCATCGGCAGATGTGTTGGCGCTGCGGCGATAAGACTCGCCGCGGGAAGGAGAAAGCGCGGGTAAGGAAAGTGGAAATTAAAACCGTCGCCGTTCGCCGCGCGCACGGTCTGCACACACGAGTGCATCCGCATACACGCGCGCATAAAGACACATATATACGCACACATCCGCCACGGAGTTCCTCCATCCATTCGGCGGCGCGGCACCGTGTAATTACGTTGGGCGAGAGCACGAGATCGCGATCCGGCTCGGCCAGGAAACGTATAATGGGAGTATAATGCGTGAAATTTACTGGCCGCATCGGCATAATGGACGACGCGACGCTCAAGATATCACCGTGATTCCATATTTCCGAGCGGAGTGATGCGATGCGAGCGCGCGCGGCGGAGCGTGGCGCGGCAACCCACCGAGCGAGCGCGTCCGTCGATTCAGATCTCGGATTTTAATACGAACGATTATCGGAACGAGCCGGACCGGGACGGGACGGGACGAGACAGGCCGGACCGGATCGGCCCGCTCCCCGAATTCTATCCGCATCGCATCGCGTATTTATCGCGCGGTGGCCTCGGCCTGTAATTTCGCCGAATCAAATTTCAACGTTGCGCGTATCATCGGATATCGCCAATACGCGCGGAGATCGCGCAACGCGAGGCTTCAAATTCAATTAACTCCGTCACGGTGGCGAGAAGTTTGCATTTCTCCGCTGAGGAAAATTTGAATATTTTACGACATCGTGACTCTGTGTAAAGACACTTGGAGATTTTGGAAGGTTTGCTCGATGTAAGTAGCGCGATCATTAGACGAACATTAGAGCTTCTTGTGTTACACACGGCTCTTGTACCCGCCGCGCGAAACGAGAATCGGCCTTGCGTAATTCGAGATTAACGTATTACTAATTAAGCAGTATCGACGCGTCGCGTTTTACAGGAGAGACTGGATTAAAAATGAATAAGACGGAGAGGAAGATAGTGCTCCGCCTGCTGCGACCGGTTACGCGCCGAGCTGCTGAGCGCGCCGGGCGAGTTTTTTCAGCTGTGCACATTCGGGCGCATTTGAACAGCGTGTCGGCGCAAACAGACCGATTAAAAGTATCAATATTTGCCGAATCGGGGGTCTTGCGCAAACGTACGCCGTGCAGTTTACAGGAGGTAGGAACCCAGCGGCGAGGTCCGGTCTAATGCGCGCGCGTATGTGTGTGTGTGTGTGTGTGTGTGTGTGCGTGTGTGTGTGCGTGCGCGTGTGTGTCTGTGTACGTGTGCCAACGCCGTCCGTCCATCCACCCGCCCGTTGACGTTCGCAACGTGTACCTTACTAACTAACGTCAGCACTTCGCACCGTTCGTCCTTTCCCGCTAGTTACGGATCCCCTCCGTCCTTCCTATCTAACCTTCAGCCCAACGATATTCGATTATACATAGGGTGTCGCATACATATTTCAGAGATACGTCCAAGAGCCTTGAAATGTAAGCCTAGAAACGTAAAGTTACGTGTAGAAAAATTGCAACTTTCAGTTTATACTGCGGATGTTTTCTCAACATTTAGCGGACAAGATTGAATCGATACAGTACTCGCGTACGCGAGGATTTGCGAATTGCAAATATTCAAAAGAAGAATTAAGTACACGGCGAGAGGTGAATATAACTTGACACCGACGTCGCTTGTAATAATGTAAAATACACATAGATCGAAGGGTTTGGACCGCCTGCAAGCACGGGAGAAAAATTGCAATGTGTATCTTATAAATGTATCTCGTATATTACGTGACATCCTGTATATACACGAAGGAATTTAGGTCGATCGTTTCAGGGAAGTTTTCCGCCATCCTTGCCACCGCGTTCCACGTGCCGCGAGAGACTGCCGAGTTACATCCGGTGTAACGCCCATTATTAGGGTCGGGCCTTTTCCTGGGCTTTCATTATGCTATCTTGATGGGCCTCCTTTCGCGGACTAACAACATGACGGACAAAGTGACGTAGCATGACTTTTGTGCTTCGCAGCGATTATCCGTTAACAACAACCGATAAATACGCGCGATACCCTTTTTCCGTGAGTAACATTTCGAGCGATTGTAACTGCCAGTTGGCTCGATTAGCGGAGACCGCGAAAAAATTGTTTGTCCACGGCATTTAGCGCGTCAAGCGTCGTTACGTGTTTTTAGCGCGAGAGAGTTGCGTCGCGGTGAGGAAAAAAAAGGCGTTAATATCCTGTGTAATGGCCGGAGAGACGTTGCGCACCGTCGGGCGAGAGAAAGAAAACCGAGAAACGGCGAACGTGACGGGACTACGCAACGACCCGCAGAGTCAGTGGTCGACGTGGTGGACGATGAGTCGTGCGCGACGACTAAGTCGCCATTATCTCGACCAGGCCATTAAATGCAGACAGCGCCAAGTCCACGGCACGGACGGCTCTCCGCTCGCTCCGCTCGATTCACGGATCAACGACTCCGACGTGCCGTGGCGAAACGCTTTTCGCACGGCCGCGGAGCTAATGTCGAATGCGATTGTTCCGCGTTTTACATCGCCCGAATTTTCGCTGCACGACGGAGAAACGCGTGACGCACTTGTACATTTGTCGTGCAAATTTTATCTATCAACGTTTTGGCCTATTCTCAATTACGTGTGTGATTCAAAACATTCTAAACGTCTGGCGACATATGTTACACGTGACAACGCCAACGCACGTGGCAGCGTTACGGCAGAACGGTGTACAATTTTGCCTTGCGCACGATGTGCGCGTTAATGAAATTTTAAGCCGCCGACGAAATGCGATATGCGAGCGAGGCGCGTAACGTCGCCGCCGATCGAAATCGCGTATTCGCGCGACGAACCCGGCGAAACTCGAGAAGTCGCCCGGAGTCGACGACGGATCGTGTTACGGGGTGCAAATCGCATGGTCGGTGTAAAGGGAGCGCAATCGAGCGCGAGACCGGAGAAAAAAATCGTTTGTTTCCCGTCACGGTGTGAAAAAAAGAAACTGACGCTTAATGCATCATCGCGTGGCGGATGTGGTCGCTCTTTCGCGAAAAGTAGGAAAAAAGAAGAAAAGAAAAAATGTTGAAAGACCGGGAATCTACGTCAGAGACGCGCGGCGCGATCAAGGACGGGGTTAAACAGGGTTAACAGCGATGTAAATTACACACGTAAATCAGATCGCCGCGCCGACCCGCGCCGGCGCGCCGCTGCGCGACGCGGCGGTACATTAAATATGCAACGTGCTGTAAAATAGACCGGACGCTCGTAGCGGTCTTGAAAAAAATAAATAAAAAAGAAAGAAACCCGACGATCGAAGTGGCCGTTCCGCAGAGCGAGCAAACTATCGTCGTCGCAATCTTTCGCGCGGTAAAATTCTCTCTCGCGACTCTGATAATTCGAAGCGAGCAATTCTTTCGGGCGAGATATGATTGCGAATCATTCCGAAAAGATATCCGACTCGTTATCTGTGTTATCAAAGTCATTCGACGGAGAATGCTCATGGCATTCTAGCCTAATTTATTCGGTCTGAGAATACCTGCCAATTAAATTCAATCGCTATTTGGTAATTATACAGCTGTGTTTACGCAATATATCCCTGCCGAATGCCATCATTGATAGCGACGTATACATAAACAAGGTATTATTATTATTATTATTGTTGTGTTGTTATTGATAATTGAGCAATCACTACTCACCGGATGCCTGGCGGCAGCGGCGGCCACGGCGGCTGCGTTGATTCCGGCGCTGGGATACATCCTTCCTGCGCGGTTTCCCGCTTGGCGCGTTCACACTAAAGAAGTTGTATATATCTATTTTATATCTATTTCTATCACACTGCGTTGTAGCGCGCGGCGATGCACTCGCTCTTCAGAGCGCGCTGAGACGCGTCATGTCACGCGGCACACTTTCCGACCGAGTATACCGCTCAACAATAACAATAACAAATAACACAACAGCAGCAACAATCGGCAACAGAATCGGCACGAATACGGCGAAAATGAACTATCCCGGATTTTACACGCACGGACGATTGTACGCTACGAAGCTCGGTACTCTCGGCGATGTCGTGTCGTCCCACGACGTACGTTCCGGTGCGACGCGATCGAGAACGTGATCGGCAACACGCCGTTTCCTCGCCGAAAATCCATCGGCGGTCGCCAATCCATTCGCCACTACCGTCGTGTCATCGGGCGCGAAGCGGTCGTTTCAAACTTTATCGCCACTACACGCGAGCGATACTCGCAACGGGTCGCCGGGTCAGGTGAGGGTAATCGTGGTTACATTCATTCGAAGAGTCACGCACGACGTGTACGCGCGACGGAATGCCGCGGAGGTGGAAACAATTCCGACCGTCGTCGTCGCGTTTCTTTGTGTCCGCAAGCGACGCGGCGTGCCCTTTTTTGCCGTCGGTAAAGCAGGCAAAAACCGCCGTCGCCGCCGCCGTCGCCACCGCGTCGTCGTCGCGGCTGCTCCGCGCGCCGGAAAAACACCGGCCGAGATTTCTTCGCGGATCCAGGCACGTTTGTCGTGTCCGGCCACCTTTGTATCACTGATTCGTTTTACTCGCCACCGCTTCTCGCGTTTCTCGCCGGCGTCGTCGCAAGCAACACACTGATGCGTCACGCTGGCACACCGCACACTCCCCGTTGTTTACCCGAGCGCGAGACAGCGGCGCGCGCGCGCGCGCGCAGTTTTGACGGGAAATTCGCTCCGAAAACGCGACGTGAGCGCGGCTTGAGGACGATTCGGACGGCGTCGCAACCGGCCGGTCGAACTCACTGGTGGAAAATCAAAAACGGCCAATGTGAACCGAAATGCGACGAGCGTCGCAAAACGCGCGGACTGGCAACGCGAATCGACCTCTTCCTCCAACGGCTGCGGAGCGACTGGTGGACAAGCCGATAGAGGGGGATAACGCCCCTCTACGGCGTAATCGCCCCACCGCGCTCTCTTCCTCCATTCCCCTCGCGTACACGCTCGTTCCTTCTTCCTCTTGCCGTTCTCTCGTCTCACTTTGCCCCACAGTCCCGCTACTCCGCGTTTAAAGTTTAAAGCCGCCAAGCATCCCCTCGAATGTCTCCCGTCTCCTCCACGCTCGTATTAACCGGCGCGATAGCTCCTTCGCAATTAAGTCGCGTTACGTAAGGATCTCGAAAAGGCGAGCACGAAAATCACGGCTCGTTAAAATGTTACTCTACGTGTCCCTCTTACCAACTCCGTTCATCTTTCTCTCTCTTTTTCTCTCTGTCTCTCTCTCTCTCTCTCTCTCTCTCTCTCTCTCTCTCGCAACGCTACCTCCCACCGATCTCATTTCTGTGCACACCCGCCGATCCGATTTCCTCGACCTTTACGAGGAAGGACGTCCGTCGTGATTTTCGATCGTCTACGCATCTTTACGCGTCCCCTTTACGCGCGTCGCTCGGATGCCGCGATGAATGGTAATTCCGGCGGAATGGAATTATATCGTCATTTAAGCGGCCTAAACGTCCCGATTTTGTCGTTTCGCCGGCCGACGTTTCGCATCGCGCTCCCGATTCGCTCTTTCCGCGAACGTACATGGAAAAAGTGACTCTCTCTTTCTCTCTCTCTCTTTCTCCGTCTCTTTTGCTCAACGTTAGTTCATCGACGTTGATTGCCAGCCGTCCGTTTTTTTCCGTCACCCCGCAGGCATTATCGCCTACGATATCGACAGCGACGACAGGCGCTGCGCGTGCAAATAATGTTTGCTCTCGATCACCTTTGGAATCTGAGCAATTTGGCATATCAATCTCGAGAGAGGCGGCGCGACTGAAAAACTTTGGCGGACGCGTCATTATCCGCGCTGGTACTACCACGAGTAGTCGGTCGTGCTCCGACTCCGTTGTGGATTTTTGCGAGTCTCAAGCCGAGAGAAACGCTGGTCCGTCGGGTACCGAAAAGTTTTCGGTCGCGAACGGATACGGCGGAGTATAAAACGAGGATGGACAGAGTGGGAGAGGAAAGAAGAGGTGCGGAGCGGCGCGGCATGCCGAGCATACACGTCGGTATTAGTCGTTCCTCCGGGTTCGCTACGGCGTGTGCAAACAAATCGAAAGTTTTTCGCAAAATGGCCGTCACCGGGCTGACACGGATGTCCGCGTAAACTCCCTCTCCCTCCTCCCTGCGCCACCGTGCTTTTCCCCGCGCCTCGTTTCCCCGCTTGTCGCCCGGCTGCCTCTCTCGCCACTCGTGATTTCCCTCACTTCCCACACTACCACAAATATGGCGCCTCCACCCGTTTTCCCAACCCCTATACAACGTAGCTGCATAAAGCGACAGAGCGCGAGAGGGGGAGGATACGTACACATATGCGCGCGCGCCGTACGCGATATATACGTGAATGTATAGAGATGTGTGCACGGGTGTGTGAGTGTGTAGCGAGTACCATCCTGTACGCGCGATTGTGTGTGCTAAGGGGGTGCCCCTATGTGAATATCGCGCGGCACACAGTCCCAAGCAGTTTCCTACTTGATTGCCGCTATCGTCCGCTCGCCTCGTAAAGGCGCCGAGTCCACGTGGACTGGCGCGGCGCGCCTGTGCCAACCGGCGTCGCTCCTGCCGACTCTTGGCCAATCGCGGCGCGTCTGGCGCCGCCGATCGACTTGGCGACGGCAAAGAGTCGAATGAAAACGCGACCTCGGCCAATCGCGCGACGACTTTTTCAAGCGACGCGCGTACGTTCAGTCCACGTGGACTGTTCGCTCACTCTTGCTCGAGCTCCGGAGAACGTACCTATACTCTATACTGAATAAAGGTGCTACGCGAAGCCGCAGCGAAACATGAAAAATAGGGGGCCACACGAGGAAAAACACGGACCCGAGGGTGGAAGGAGGATGAGGTAGAAGATGAAGGGTGGGAGGAGGTGGAGGTTCGCTGTAGATTCTACGAACCGAGACACTGAAGGCTGGGTGCAGTCGGGGTTGCGTGGGATGGGTCGGGAAAGGAGTCCGGGACGACTAGAGTATAGAGGCCGAGGATGAGAATGGAAAAGTAACATAACGAAACGTCGATCCCATTACCTGCAGCTCTCTCTCCCTCTCTCTCGCTCTCTTTCTCGCCCCGCCGTACCATCCGCCCTATTGCTCCCCTCCGTGCAGCAGCCATCCCTCTCCCACTTTCGACCCTTAATCCGAAGGAGGATTAGAAAAGCCCATTGTCATGCTTGGCGGAACGCGGCATGGATAATACACGTACGCGTATGCGCGACGCTTCGTCTCCCGTGCGCCTCCGGCGCGTACTGATGTGTATGTGCTGAGAGAGAGAGAGAGAGGGAAGAGGGAGACGAGCAAGACTTTCTTAATGAAATATAATAAATACGCGACGGAGCGCGCGGCGCGATCATGGTTCCGTTTATCACGAGAATCCCGCGCTTTTTGCCGCGATTCAACGCGGTGTGCGCGCCGAGTGCGGCGAGTCTCGCTTCCGCGATCGCGCTCGCGCGC